CCTTATAATTAGAGTTTGTAATTATCGGCACTTTTGGTTCGCAGAAATCATTGTCTTTGAGACCGTATTTCTTCTTAAGAGATTTTAACTGCTTTTTGCGGTCTTTCTCTTTGTCGGACTGTTCGTACAAATTACTACTATTTTGGTGACTGGACTTCAAATTGGCAATTACGAGACCCGGCTCACACCGGTCGCACGTCACATCTTTGCCGTTGTGGATGTGCACTAATAGCACACATTTGCCAAAACTTATTTCGCTGCTATGGCTCACTACTGTCTCGCAATTGCTTTCAATTTTGTTCCCATTAATGAATGTGCCGTTTGTACTGTTCAGGTCTTTTATGATATAATTATTGTCGTTATAATCATATCTAATCTCTGCGTGACTCTAACCGACACATCAAACAAACAAATCAATCAAATCTCATTCATACAAATCACAAACACTTCCAATCCTTACCCGACTCACGGATTCGTCGGTTATCCAGACGTCACAACTGGAATCGTTGCCAACTTTGGCGCCCATACACGACACTACCTGTAAAAGGCTCCCAATCTCTAGGCTCGACGACTGCTTCACAATCATCCGCACGAGTGGTGGACTCACTTCTGACTTATCTTTAATTAATTACGATTATAATTATCGTTATCCCGAAACCAAAGCATTACAACAAACCTTCAATAACATGAAAATCTTGGGAGTCATCAGATATGACAGAATTGTCGTCAGAATCTCCTATTTCTCCCTCTTCTTCAGATGAACTGTCGCTGATATCAATGGTTTCCTTTCCACTCATTTTATTCACATTTTCTGATTCATCGAAATCTTCTTTCAATTTCTGAAATCATTTCAAACAATACTTTAATTAATAAATAAACACTTATTAATTGGCATTTAAGTTACAAACCTTTGAAGTCTTGGATGTCTTGTTCAGAGTTTGTCTCTTTTTGTCCATTTGTTTGAGTGATGAGTAAAAATTATAAACTTTTTTGTCGAAATCGTATTTATAATAGTTTTTGGTGTTTGGGTCATAAAATAGAGACGAATCCTATTATGAAAGCAATTCATTAGTGATTACTATTAGTATTCATTTGACAGTCAATTCAAAGTGTGAATCCATTACCGGATAGTAATACCAACCACTGCTCCGACTATAATAGGTCTTAGACTTCTGGTCGTAAACGTAATCGTTTTGAAAGTCATTGTTTGTCACAACCTCTTGAGCCGTCTCGCGGACCAAATCACTAATCCGTGTATTCTTTGTCTCAGAGTTTTGTTTCCAATCATTGATAACATCACTGTTCACATCACCACAAGAAGTGATGGCATGACCACATTTGCCACAAACACTGCTATTATTAGTCACATATGGGCTCATAAGCGACAACTCCGTCTGTGTCTCAACACTGATGGTGTCTTTGGTGATCACCTTCTGATGCAAATGCAGTTTTGCGGACAATATCTCCAACTCGTGCCTCAAATCGTTGTTATATTTCGTCGAAATCTCTTTCTCTCTCAAAAGCCTTTCAATCAATTGTTTGTCATTTCCATGGCTTTCGATGTCATTGTGAGAGACCAGAGGTTTGTCTTCATGTGGATCCATGTCTCCAAACATATGAAATAATAGTTTAATTTCAAAGTCTTGTCATTCAATTGAAATGCAATCGAAATCTCATTGAAAACACGAATTGAATGCAAAAATCAAAA